ATTTCTAGAGCCACTACAGACAGTATTATGATTAATCAAATATCAGCGACAAGAAACGAAAGCATCATGGGTCTAGCTAGACAGTCACAAACACCTTTCTTAATCGAGTGCACTAAAACTGTATATAAATACAACTACAGCATAGATCCCTTCCTGTTGGACTGCCCTTTCTAACAAACAGTTCTAATTAGAACTGTTTTATCTCTAGTACTCAGCTTGACCTGGAAGCACTAATCAGTGCTAATTAGAACTGATTTATCTCTAGTACTCAGCTTGACCTGGAAGCACTAATCAGTGCTAATTAGAGCTGATTTATCTCCAGTGCTCAGCTTAACCTGGAAGCACTAATCAGTGCAAATTAGAGCTGATATATGTCCAGTACTCAGCTTGACTTGGAATCACTAATTAGTGCAAATTAGAGCTGATGTATCTTCAGTACTCAGCATGATCTGAAAATAGATTCTCTACCTTTTACCAAGCTGTTGTTTTTGTTTTTCTTTGTGCAAAGCTACACAATAGATTATCTGCGTTCCTCCCACCACGGGAAATCGAACCCCGGATTTTAGCGTTGTAAGTCCGTAAACTTACTTCTGTCCTACCAGGGGACATTTTACAAAGCACTGTGGCATATCGTGGTCTACAGGCTTCTGTTGTACTTACATATTGACTATAAGAGGGATATAATGATGATTTTTATATTTTTGCTTCCCAATACAAAATAAGTTTCGTTTGCTTTGAGAATCATGTAGGTATGAAAACTAAACATGAAACTAATGAAGTAGAAATACACTCCGGTTGTTAAAATTTATCTACGCCATTGCTGCTGTTGTATAAACAGACAAACCGGAGTAAATGCAACATTTAAACATCGTGAACATTTATAAAGCTACTTGTCTATCGCTTACATTTATGAACGAATCCCTCTGAATCTGAGGTAGTCTCCTCTCTGAGCACACTTCTTCGGCCATGGTAAGGATCGAGTTTAGAACAAGGTCAGATTGACCAAAACAAAATAGGGAATGGCCCCTCTTAATGTTTTACATTAACATCATTTAAAATAACTGAAATGTAACAAAAATTTGCACGCACGTGTTAATCTTCAGTAATCTTCTACTTGTTTCCATGCCTCTGATGTAGGAGCACGCACTGCCGTGACACAAGCGTGTCTCTGTCGTCAGCTGACAGATCTGCGTTTCTTCTGTAAAACTAACCAATCACAGCTTTGCTTTTCGTTGCTTTAGTTCCAAACCGAAATGACGTAATTCAACTGAATATCTTACTGTTTTTGTTGACAAGAGAACCTAATTGTGTTAAAGGCGAAGCAAAAGGGTGACTGCTATAACACAAAATAAAAGGAGAGATTTATATAAGTGTTACGACATTAATACTGAGATACAATAATATACCTACGTGACAGCAGTTAAAGCTTTCAGTCAAAATAGTTCAATAAATGTATGACAGTTTTGCGTCATTGCAAGAAACAACAGAATCGGTTATAAAAATCGTAAAATTTACGATTCAAGTTATCAGCGCTAGCCTAACATCAGTGAAGTTTTAAAGACGAAAAACACGTCATAACAGCCTGGGCACGACAATTTTGTGCTCAATATACACAATTACCAGTAACATTTTCAGTCGGAATATTTATAAAGGCAACTTAAACGAAAGCTTAAACGTGATTCTTCTAGATCACAGAAATCAAATTATAAAAAAAAAAAAATACAACTGAATACAATGTTATTATAATCGTCCATATTCTAATACTATGAACTTATTATCGGTTGTTGCTATTCACGTTTCGTTAGCAGGATTGCTTCTGTATTTTCAAGACAAATCACAAATAAATTAATGGATACGTTTCTCGTTACGCATAGTTTATTAATAACTGACTTATGAAATTTTCTAAACTCGTTCGAACATATATATTTCTCGTATTTTTATTAACAGACCTGAAAAAAAAAGCGTTTATCTTTATAAACTTATATTATTTATTGGACATTTTAAGGCATTAACTGTGAACATGTCTGACCTGTAGTACAATGTTTATTGTATTTGGGAAGCTATTTAAGCTTACTTATATCAATTAGTATTTTATCTTGGTGCAACTGGTGTTTACACTTTCTCCATTATACTGCAGTTGAGCATTTGCTGCTGTTATCTGATAGTGTTGCAACTGGATCTAACCAATAAAGGTTTAACCTCATTGCGGTTTTATCTATTCACATTAAAACGTATTTGTTCACACTATCTACAAATCAATAGGTGTAGGGCGTGGCATAGCGGTTGGCGTGCCGAGATGAGTATCGGAAGATGCAAGGTACGAGTCACAATGTGCCACTAAGCGCGTTCCACACTTTAAGTTATAGGTTTGTTTGTTTTATAGTGAAGCTACATCTGTGTCCACCTCGGGGAATTGAACCCCGAATTATAGCCCGGAAACTTCCTGCTGACCCACCAGGGGACTCAACTGCGGGACCTTATTACTGTGACAGGCAATCTTATTATTCGGTTCCTTGGAACAACGGGTGCTGCTCCATTCCCTATAGTCAATATCCTAAAATTAAGGATGGCTATACTCGAAACCTGGATTTTTCTGAGATTTAGTTGAAATTACCAAATCCCAAAATAAATAACGTGACTGCTCCATTCCATTGGCGGTGTTGATTAACTGCCTTTTTTCTAGTCTAGGCCCGGCATAGCCAAGTGGTTAGGGTGCTCGACTCGTAAGCTGAGGGTCGCGGGTTCGAATCCCCGTCACACCAAACATGCTTGCCCTTTCAGCCGTGGGGGCATTATTATGTAACGGTCAACCCCACTATTCGTTGGTAAAAGAGCAGCCCAAGAGTTGGCGGTGGGTGGTGATGACTAGCTGCCTTCCCTCTAGTCTTACACTGCTAAATCATGGACGGCTAGCGCAGATAGCCCTCGTGTAGCTTTGCGCGATATTCAAAACAAACAAATCTTCTAGTCTATCACTTCTAAATTAGGCACGAAATTCCAAACAAACCAAATCCCTTGTATATGGATTAACTAGAACAACTATTGTTTTCATAAATATATAATTTAAAACCAGCAGTCAAATAGAAGGAAGATATATCTTCTACTGTAAAGTTAGACAGCAAATATTATATATTCAAAATCATAACATCATATTTCAAACCAATATTCAAAAATTACAAACTAATTCAATCCACTTTTTACTATTAAACTTTAAAGAATATTCTGAAGAAACATTTCTGAATGGAAAAAAAAAAAAATTTCAAAAAGAATGAAGTATCTTAGTAATATAAACTCTCCATATAAATCTAAACCTAAGGTTAAATCCAGTGATGGTTTTGAAGATTATGGGTTACGTATTGTAGCCATCCAGAGAAGATTAAGGAGAAGATCAGAAGTTATTCCTAATTCAAAACGTAAATTTGTGGGTTAGTGTAGGCATCCATTACACTCTCATATTTCAGTTCTGATAGCCGGAGGCGCAGTCGTCTTCTTCTTCGTTTTTTAAAAATTTATTTTCTGATAGATTTATTACAAAAGTAATGTTTTTTTTTCCCACAATGAATAATATCACGGTTTTAAAATTAAAGCATGAAATGCTAGTTTATAACAAACGTATATATTATAATAATTAAATATAATCACGACCTTACTTAATTATTTAGTTTGTTTGTAATTAAACACAAAGCTACACAATGGGCTATCTGTGCTCTGCCCATCACGTGTATCGAAACCCGATTTTTAGCGTTGTAAGTCCGCAGACATACCACTGTGCCATGGGGGGGGGGCTAATTATTTGGAACTTGAATAATGTGAAATGCAAATATTCAATTCTGGGACAAATATAATATTTTACTATTACTTTGCTGTTTTGCGATTCTACTGTTGTGTCCGTCAGCAAAGTTAGTATTTATTTTCACTTCAAATATAAAAAGGTTGAGGTTTCTTTTTGTTTTTTCACTACTTTTAGAATTGTCGAGTTACCTTGCTATACTGCAGGGGTACTGCTTTAACTGTGTGGTAGTAATCTGGGATGTGGAATGTAAGTTGAAGGATTTTCACGAATCACGGTAAGGATTCGGCATCCTCTTTCGGGCCCTTTTGTTTATAGTTTTCTTTGCCATCGACTATAAACAAGTCACTGTTTTGTGGTTTTTTTAAGCCGTTTTCTGACATAACTTTAGTAGTAATAAAATGTAGATAATACAAGGTGTTTTAAAAATTTGAGCCTAGTTTCAGTCAAGGATAGGACAATATTGAAGATAATTATCGTATTTTCAATAATAATTACTTTATTGACAGTTATTATTAAATTTAGAGTAGAGGAATTACCCAATGATTTGGCTATTGGATCGGCATTAAATTCTTGAGGGGGGGAGTTCAAGACTTAATTAAAACTAAGTAAAAAATCATATACAGAGCTTAAAAAGCAGAAGTTTATACGAAAGTAGCTGACAATTTTATTTTAAATTTATATTAATAGTCCAGTTCTCGGTTAAAACTGTTGGACGGCCCCAGTATTTGTACTAATCGCTATTATAGTCCAACCCTGCGTTAAGCTAATTATTCCTAATTTTTAAAAATATATTTATATTGACATAGGTTCATAGTAATCTACTTTCAATATGTAAATAAAATAAAATAAAACATTCTTAAACAACTACGCTCTGTTTAAGATTACACACACACGTATATATATGTGTATGCTTATAACAGATTAGAGTATTATTTTGAATTTTGAAAATATTTATCCCGAACTCTCTTAAAAGTATTGCTATGTATAAAGATGTAAGTAAAAAAAGCCAATCAATGCAAAATAAAATCACTAGATTTGTTATTAACGTAATTTGTAGTGTTATTGAAAGATTCATATAGATATAAAGCGATTGGCTTATCTATATATGATAATTATAGTTAGAAATGAAATTTTACGTTTCAATTCGGAACATATAGATGATTTGGGATAAGGCGGCCTCTATCGGCTAGTAGTTGCTGTAGTCGAAGAGGATCGAAGAAACTTAAAATTGACGTTTGGTAGTTTACATTAAAATTTTGATACAACTTTAAGCTAATCAAATAAAAAGCCAAGTGTTTCAAATCATATAGCAAATCATCTTGAGTAGGTAAGATTGTATTTAAACATGTATAAGCTTTTTAGTACGTTTCTGAATCTGTCAATAACTGAGTGTCATGTCAGAACTATATATTTTTAATTCTATATACTATAAATGTAATAATATAGTATTGTTATTAATAATATATATATATATATATATATATGTGTGTGTGTATAACCTCAGGCTTTACTATTTCAGTTTATCCCATAACCACATTTAGGGCTAGGAGTACGTTAGATGTAATACTAAGAACACGTATATATATAATCAGGGATAAATTTAACTTCAACTGACAGGATGGAGCTGGAACAGTTTTAGAAATTTATCCTTGAATTGTATGTGTACAAGAACTGCATGCATTTATCAAATGTTATATTCTTCTTTTAGAGTTTTGGCTTTAAGTTTAATTGACTACTTTTGCCTGTTTCTGAGATGTCTTCAATTTATTTATTTTACTTTTCTTTTTTAATGTATAATGTTTATATATAATTTTTATTATCCTTGTCCTTATTTACCATTTTCTTGTAAAAGATCATTGGTACTTGGTAAGGAGGAAACCCACTATATGTAATGTTGTGGTTTAAAATTTAATATCTTTGAATGAATCACTGCAGCTCTAACCTTGTGTAATGTAGTTGAACAATATATCTCTATGCAACTTAAAAATATACTATAGTACATATCCTGTAAATAAATATAACTTTTAACACATTCATGTTTGCATAATAAATTAACTATAAAAATTAAACATTCAAAAGGTGCCAAGGAGCAGTCACAGTGTTCCAAACTCATATGCCCCAAGAGAAATTTGGCTTTGAAGCATAATTGTCTGTGACCCCCGGGTGTGTCTTGCAGTCCATAACTAAAAGTTGATTGTGATCCAACAGTGGGTCACATAGCAGCAAATCTGTTAATATTGAAAACTGTATGCAGCCTGTGTTGTATCACAATAGCATCTGATGTATTTCCTGTAAAGATTATAAAGTATTTAAGATCAAGATTAAGTATTTAAGATTAAGGTAAGATCAAGGCCAGTTCTGCCAGATATCATAAAGTTCGGTTACACTACATTTATGTACTTTGATATATTATTCTTAATATTTGATTGCTCCTTTAATCATTTAGATGACTTCTAGTGATAAAGATTTTCCATTCATAGTAACCCACAATATAATGGGTAAACTACAAGAAACAGTTCATCAAACTGGATGATAGTGAAAGAAAGGTGAGTAAAGATTAAATTTGAAGGTGAAGCTTCAGTCAAATTACTGGTTAAAAATCGTTCTTAGTGCAAATATACAAAATGTAACATATATAGTTGTTTAATTAGAGTTAATTCTATACTCCAGCATTTAAAGGTAGAAAAGCCCTTAAATGTAATTCTATACCTAAAAGAAGGGATGGGCATTCCACTAATTGGTTTTTCAAAATGAACTGTTTCATATTGCTTGTGGACATCTTTATAACATCATTTTTGAGAACTACAGTTATGTGATTACTGACTAAGTATTTTTTATCCTTGTGGGACTTTACTTGATTATTGACTGTAATTCAGCCGGTACAGTTATCTGTCGTTTCTCATCTGTGTAGGTCCACTGTTGGCAAAGTTGCTTCATCTTACTTTTATCTTGGCACTCTAAGTCCTGCTTTGTGGCTTTCCTCGTTATTAGGACTTGTATTCAATTTTTTTCTCACTGTTTCTGTGGTTCCTGTACTACTCATAGGAAGAACTTCTTTCTTCAGTAATACTTAATCTTGTTAGTTAAATGTTCTCAGATTTTTGGATTTTTACTTCTTTCTGTTTTCATTTCTGTAGTTTAGAGGAGTTTCTGTGTTTAATGACTCTCTGGTTTCAGTTTTACATGTTGACTATTTATTTTTCCCAAAAAAAGTGTTGGAAAGCTTCTACATACCTCATACAGGATATTGCTTTTCATAATATGACCTGTAGGTTTTTTGTTATGGATTGGTGTTATAACTTTTACAATCAGTACTTTCACTCAGAACTACTAAAAGTTTTTTTTCATTCTAATGTGATTTCATATATTACCTTGTGTGCTATCATTTAACTACCCTACCAAGGCAAAACCAAGAAAGTTGGGACTTTACTTACAGTAAAATTTGGCAATCAGATATCACTTGTTGTCATGGTAAGTAGCCATGTGGCCCTTTGACTGAACAAATTTGGCTCCTGTACAATATACTGTACACATTAAAAACAAATCATATTGCATTCACTTGCATAAATGTCTAGATACAAAAAATATCCCTTTCAATCTTGAGAAACGAGGATTGATTGTGTAACATTCTTTGATTGGCTTTTCTTGCATGTTTCTTAGTAAGTTTCAGTAAGGAGTTCTGAGCTGTTAGGTCAGCTAGAGTCTAGTGTATATTGCAGTCCCTCGTATGTATGTGACTCGTGTGTATATATATACATATCACGTATTTGTGGCTCATATACATATATATATATATCACATATTTGTGACTCATGTATATATCATGTATTTGTGACTCGTATATATATATATATATATATATGTGACTCGTGTATATATATATATCATGTATTTGTGACTCATGTATATACATCATGTATG